GATGCTTGACAATTACTATTCAGCGTTTTTACTATATTTCTAGGTTTCCTATTTCTACGTTTAATCAGCCCATGTCTCAGCCACAATATTTTGAGGCCAATATTATTTACGAACCCAGTTAAACTTATTTACTAGCCTATTTCAGCGTGCTATTTATTACATTTAGGCGACGCTTGTTGTAGACTGGCATACACGGTACCAACGCTCGTTTTTACTGTTTCTACGTCAGCTCGAGACGCTCAAGTATTACTATTCAGCGTTTTTACTATAACCATGGGCGGTATAAATGTCAACTCGGCCCAAGCCTCGGCACAGTATTTTGAGGCCTATAGTATTTACAAACCAAGTTAAACTTATTTATGTCAATGTGCTAATTATTACATTTTAAAACAATAATTATAAATGCATTATACTAGGGGGGCCACGAAACTGTGGCCAAGTTGACTTGGTGCCGAGTTGACTCGAATTCGATCATGCTTACGTTGTGTGGTGCTTTGGCAGTCAACTCGCCTCTACAAACTCGCTCTTAGAAAATTCGCCGCCTTGAAAACTCCCCATACTAAATCATCTCACCAAATAAAAAAATTAAGAGTTGACGTCAACTCGCGACACTCGAGTATTAATATTCAGTATTTTACTAAATAGAAGTGTTCTAATATAGACAATGGGTCGTGTCTCATATTATTTGTTATATTTTTATTATTCATTATTTTCACTTGACTCGCATAAATAATTTTGTTCGAAGAACATTTATATGCAGTTGTACTTCGCAGCACTTCACTTGCAATTTCTAGTATTAATATTTTTATTGTCTTCAAAGAAGTATTGTATAGTAAAAAAAAGGTAAAGGTGTTGATTTACATAATGATTTTTTTCGATTAACTCGGTCCTGTTAATTGCTACTCCTTTAGGGTCATATGTCAGATGCAACCCACCAATCACACGTGCAATGTTTTGTAGAAGTGTGTGGCACAGCATGTAAGGTGTTGGACTTTCAATTGGAAGGTCGGGTTTCTCGAGACCGATGCTCGTCGCACTGCTTGTGTCCTTGGTCAAGACACTTCATCTGCATTTGCCTCTCTTCACCCAGGAGTATAAATGGGTACCTGGTAGGAGGTGAATGATTCGGAATGAAATTAGTAGTGCTGATTATACGCATAACTAGGAATACTCCCCCAGGAGCGGAGGAGGTTTGCACATTGTGTGTGATTGATTCTGACCAGGGAAAAAACACCTTGAGCAGTTTTTTATGTATATGCGCTAGATATAAATCCTTTTAAATAAATAAATATATAGACTTTGCTGCTGGTTTAGTACCACTGCCCAAATTGTCTGCTCCTAAATGTATCTCTGACTTGCTAACCATCAAATAGAGGAGGCAAGAACTAAGATCTGGCCAACAATCGCTCCTGGACATCCCAAGGAGCAACTTCCTTTGAACATAAAGCGTTGTCATTCACTTGACAGTTTTATTAATCTCTTTTGGAACGGCACCACAAGCCGTTGGAATGATTGATCTTGAATTCCTGAATCCACCACTGTATGTACAGTAGGCTTCAGTATTATGTGTGCAGGGTATATAATCTGTTTTTCACTTTTGTTAGCATGCATTTGTATTTTTTTGGAATAAATCTTTGTGTTGATTGATTGATGTTTCGTGTATAATGTTAAAATGTATAAAAATATTATTTATAAAAAAATTGTTTTAATAACTGTAATTTTACCCAAAAAATTGAGTCGCCAGTGGGTGATATTGAGACTAAAACAATTTAATAAAATTTCTGAGTATAATAATAATACAGTATATGTACACAGTTAATCTTGAAGGTTGTAAATCAAGCAGTAAAGTTCAATGGGGACATAATTCTATAGGCCTACAAGTTGGTTATAAACATATTGAAGTCTTTAATATCAAGTGCAAGCTGGCTGTCTTCAGAGTCGGTATCATGAATCATAGAAAGTGCTTTGTTTCCAAATTCTTGGGCCTAGGATAAAAAATTGGACAAGTTAATGCATATATGAGCATCATTATAGGATTCAAAACTGTAGTAAAACTGTTGAAATTAAACTATAATTCTGTTTTTTGAGTAATACTGTTTACATTAGAGATTTTACAATTAAACTTTTGGGCATGTTCTGAATATCAAGATAGTTGTTCCTCGGATAATTAAAATAATTGGACCGTTTTTTGCTGTATTTTGACTTCACACGAACGGTTTCTGTGGATGGTTGATATCGCTTTGATATGCTAAATGTCATCATCATTACCAACACGTTATGTTTTCATTGCGGATTTTTTTTGGGGCTCAGTACGGACTCCAAAAGCATGCATTTTCTTTTAGTTTTAAGGCGTTTGCGGATTTAATAAGTCCGCAATGACGATATAACTTGTTTACCCAGAGTCGAGTACTACTGAAATTCCGTAGTTAAGCCTAGTTAGTACGGAAATTTTGCCTAATTACGGACGTATGGAAACAGACAAAAAATACTACCGAAATTTATCATAGTCGTAGGCAAATGAGTCATTCAGGATCTTTGGAATTACATTGTCCATAGACAACTCGTACTTGTGAGATTACTGATAAATTATTGTAAAAATTAAGAAAAAGTGGCCCGTAAATCTTCAACTTGTCTCGTTTTAAATTCCACATTGAATTACAGACGATGGGCCCAAGACGATCAGGCCCATTTTAAAGACGATCGAACCAATTTGAAATTGGGCCCAATCGTCCTGAAGTGTGACCCATAAGTTTTCATTCTATCCAGATGTACCTGTAACTTTGAGCAACCCATATCGTGCACTCAATGCAAATTATTAGGTGCTATGTAAATTTTTCATTTACAACGGAAATCTGAAGACATAGTTACGGAAATGCATCTTACTAACTTGAGAAGTCTGCCCAGAGTACAATTCAAAATTATAATATTCTTTATTGCATGTTTTTGGTCAAAAAACAAGATAAAGTGAATAATGTTAGTTGTTAGCTTTCATCTGAGTTATGCTCAACCAGCAACATCTAGTCTCTGCATATACCCTTAAAATACTGTTAGTGCGCCGCCTCACTTTCTTTTGTGAAATTCTGGATCCAACAATGGAGGCTGTACGTGCAATGCCACAAGCACAATATATAAAGACAACCATGGGCATGCACACGTACCTTATCATTGCTGTCAAGTAGGTAATACAACATGGCCAGGGCATGGCAGATGCGTGACAACATATCAGGACCGTGATTGGTTGACTGCTCTCTGATGTCATGGATTGCATGCAGTACTTGTTTAGCCTCTGCTTGCTGGGCCTCATCTGAAAGCAGTGGAAAACAATGCATTTTCAATTTTTTATTGATAATAAACAGACGGGGGGGGGGGGGCGCCAAGAGGAAAATTCCCCTTTTAAAAAGGTTCTCGTTCCCAGTCTTCCCCGCCCCATTGAAAATGTCGGAAGCCAAAAAATCACGCTCAAGTAGTTGAAATTCGCCTCATATCACGTTTTTTCCCCCCTCACTTATCATCAAACTGCAACTTCCCACCCACCCCCATCAGCTCCTCTATTTCAATTCTCCTAGATACGCCACTGTTAATACGGTAATTGCAGACCAAGTGTTCATGCACTTTCAGAAAAAATCCATTAAAAATACTGTATAGATAGGGCATCCCATTCATTCTATAACATTTATTGACCCAACAATATTTCACGAGTGGGATCTTACAGTGGGCCCTCAAACATTACATAACAATGTATAGATACTCTAGGTATAGTAGGTAAATATATAAATACTTTGATGAAAAATATAAAATTATACAATCATGGAAATAATACTATTACATAAAGGCAGGGTGGGGGTTGGTGATGTTCAAAATTTTTGTTTAGAAATGCTTGACCAGACACACAAGGAATATACAGTACAGTAAATAAAAAATTAGCTTGTTTCTTGAGTACCGAGCTCCTCTTGTTCCCCTTTCTTTCCTTCTCTCTTTTTTGGGGCCGGCCCTAGCCCCTGTGGGCCTTTGTCTTCTCTTGCTACCATGGCTGCTGAAACACGAGTGATAAATTGCACCAGGCATGCTTGGCCCCAAGGATCTTCATTAAAGTGCACACTCTGTTGCTATATCTCTCTTCTCTACTATTATATGTAAACCTACCAAGTGTTTCCTCAGATGGTTTCTCAATGGATGCTGGACCAACCCCAGATGATGTCATTGGTGGATGAATCCGTTGGCTAATGATTCCTAGAAGGTGTTTGTGCCAAATAGCAGTAACTCTCGTGTATAAAGAATCTGCAATGTCCATTCGATTCTGACGGAAGAATACATTTGCCATGTGGAAGTAGCCCCCAGATGTTTGGATGTCGTCTGTCCCAAACTCTTCGGATGCATGATAGATCTGAATGGAAAATCAATTAAACAATTACTGGAAAAAATTGGACTTGCTTAATGTGTTTTGGTGAGCCCATGTTCATTATTTTGCCTTGAAAATGGAAACATCCTGTTAAATATTTCGTACTTTGATGAATGTCCCTGACGAGAGCACAGTGGTGGTTGTGCACCACCCAAAATCTTCCGAAAGTGGTCCAGGGGTAAACCCCCCACCCCACCAAAAAAATTTTTTTTTTGACAATTTAGGGGTTTCAAAGGCTTATTTAATCAATTTAGAGAAATTTAGATAATACATATACTAAAAAATACATATATTTTTTTTCCCTCCCCCGACGAATTGTGGTTTTTCTCCCGCCATTGGGGGATGTCACATTTTTTGTCAAATAAAATTTGATAGTCTGGACAATAGTATAAAATTACCAAAAAATAACAACATACATCATCAGCTAGGTGAGCCCGGGCAGTTTGATATTCCCCTTTTGCAGCAAAAAGCAGGCCTAGGTTACGGTAGAGTTTGGATTTGATGGCGTTGCTGCAACCTGGAGTCTTCAGAACTGTCCACTGAGCTTGTGCAAGGTACTCCTCTGCTTGTGTCAGTTTGTGCAGACCTACAAGGAAATTAGTGATACAGTTAAATGCTAATACAGGTTCCCTCTATTATAGGACCCCTCCAATTAAAGACCACCACCACTTTTCTGTGGTTCCAAATCATAAAATGTCTTTTATCTTTAATATTCTAATTCAAAACCAAACCTGCTAAATACAAACCCCAGTCCCAAAAGTGGTCTTTAATTGGAGGGAGACCTGTAAATTATATCCTTGTGGACTTTGCCCAGGGGTGGCACCTGGATTTCCTACATTTTAAACAGGAAAATTTTAACAACTACAATAAATATTACCTATGCTAGCCTCAGCAAGTATGAGGTATGATGGAACAAGTTGGATGCTGTCCAAACCATGTACATCAATGCTGAAACGTAGTGACTGCATTGCTGCTGGCACAGCCTGTTCATGTCGACCCTCAAACAACAACTTCTGACCCATAGTTCTTGTCAAGTCTATCATGTCCCTCTAGTAGTGTAATAAACATAAGATAAATTAATTAATAAAGTGATGAATGCATTATGTGTTAAATTAAATTGTGATGCTTTTTAATGTGTATTTAATTGATATTATATATTGAGTACTGATTACTTGTAAATTTCTATTTTTAAATTCTCTACGGAGCCTGTTAACAATTTAAATGCATACTGTTTGTGTTTTACTAAATAAAGTTGTTATTATATAGAGATTTTAATTTTTGTCTTTCTGTTAGAGTTGTACTACTATGATATTTGGGTATAAATTCCTTTTAGATGTTGTATACAATTAAATGAAAAAAAATATATAATTACTGTATATTCCCTATATTTTGTATCATATTTTTATACAGGCCTCAAATTAAGGACCACATTTGAAACTGGGGTTACCATGGTCTTTAGCAGCTTTGGTCTTCAGAATAATAAAGATACAAGACATTTGCATGAGACCACAGAAAAGTGGTATTTAATTGGAGGTCTTTAGTTAGAGGGAGATTTAAATTATTGATGGATATTTGCTTGTGTCAAAGGAGAGGCAAAAATAATAGGAAAAATTTAATAATTAGCCATGAAAAAAATGTCTATAATTCCACTACCTTTGGTTTACCACTGCATTTGATACATCCTTGACATCATCTGTTTTAGATGAAAGATGATGCCATCATGATTTACAACAAATACATAATTATTTAGGCAGTAGTTATTGTTACACCAATCTTCAGACAAAAAATCCATCAGAATTTGTTAAAGACTACTGTAACAATAAATATGAATGAAGGAAAATTCGAATATAATATTTTGAATGTATGCATAAATTCACATGCTTACTTGTCTCCGTAACTTTTCAGCTTCTCGTTTCTGTCTGTCTTCTTCCGATGGCAAAAATGGCAGCGAGACCGTCCGTAGAGGGATCAACAACTGACAAATCTTCATATGTATTCCCATCCAGTCTGCATCCTGGTGTTCTTTGCCACTGTTTATTAAATTATAATTATTAAATGATAAGAAAGTTACAATTGGGCAATTTATAAAGTAAGTTCGTAGTAAGTCCAGAGAGGCTTATAAATTGAATGCAGCCTAGTCAGTAATAGGCCTATCACTTTATTTTGTAGCCAATGCCGAGAAAAAAAAAACAGGTCTATTAGCTAGTACAACAAAACAGAACATGTTGCTTGCTTGTTCAATATTCATTCATTATTTCAGAAATTAAAAACATAGCAAAACAAACATATGCAATGTATTAATACTGTATTTTAGCATCTAGAGGATCATAATAGGTCACATTAGGAACTTTGAATTACTGTACTCTAGTATGGACAGACACCATCCTGGTAATTCTGGTTTCGGTAGGGGAGGGGGAGGATACAGGGATAGTATACAGGGATAGCCTATAGTGACTTACAAAAACTCTTAACAACTACTAGGGTAATAACAATCTCCCACACCACCCCAGTATACCTGACTCAAGGTTTTCGGGGCCAGAATACAAGATTATTTGACTTGCATAAAAAAAACCAGAGCCTATAAATAGGCCTAGGCCTAGGCCCTATCCCCCTTCGGATGTAGCATCCCGGTAATTTTAATAAGCAGAGTTTTGTACCATACAAAAATAATGCCCAAGGCTAATCACTCTATAGGCTAGGCCCCTAGGCCTACTTTTGTAGGACTTTAGGTAGGCCTAGGCCCCTAGACCCGGGGATAGGCCTAACCTAGCCTGGCATAGGCTTGGCTAGGCCTAGGCTAGTAGAAGTAGGTCTAGGCTAGGCTAGGAGGAGGAGCCTAGCAGGAGGCCTACCGATTTTTTTTTTTTTTAAGTTTTGGGCTAAACACTTACCAATAAAATGTTACTCGGCACTTCATACACTGAACAAATGCTGGTTTTTGACAAAGTTCACACAATAATTTTACACCTTTTGGATTTGCTAAAGGATTTAACGCCATAATATATTAATTGTATTGGGAAAATACGGCGACAGCGTTTGTGGTTGCTTTAGAAACGGGAGATCGATAGAGGGCGATAGATGTGGCTCTGCCACAGCAGAGCCATTAGATATATATGGCTCTGCATGCTCTGCCATCATGGGGGCTCCTGCTCTCCAGTCCAAGGTATTTCAATTGAGAATTTAAAAGCCATTTTTGTGTTCTACATAATAAATAGTTAAATTTTAGTTTAATTAAGTTAACTTAGTTTTTGTTTGTTTAATTAGGCCTACTTCCCTATGCTATGATGTAATCTTCCTACTGATGCTTTGTCAGTCATAAAGAAGCGACATTGAGAATTTAAAAGCCATTTTTGTGTTCTACATAATAAATAGTGGCCTAAATTTTAGTTTAATTATGTTAACTTAGTTTTTGTTTGATTAAGTAGGCCTACCTCCCTAGGCTATGATGTAATCTCCCTGCTGATCTCAGAAATAAAATCCTTTTTTTTTCTTACAAACGAAACAAAAGTCAATTAATACACCTTATTACCGTAAATGCTCATTATGATAACATTTTTTGGAGGCTTTCAGTGCGGCGCTTATTCAAGAGCAGCGTTTTCGAGAGCGGCGCTTTCCACGCCCGTTTCCCTGTTACCTATTCCACGTATTCCCGTAGTTCGGTAGGCCTATCATAAGTCCTACATCATTGTAAATAACCGTTTATAAAGAAACTTCACTGTCTTCACTGTGTCATTCATTTTAACACATTGTATTTAAAACCCTGTTCTCAATGTGTTTCACTACACACAGGCCCGCACACACAGGGTCATACTCTCGATTAAGCACCGCGCCGCTTATTCGAGAACAGCGCTTAACGAAAAAATATATGTTTAGTGTGGAGCTAATTCATTTACTGTAGATTTATTTGTAACCCATTTGTTAACTCTAATATTATCGGTTCTACTTCTTAGTATATGCAAAATTATTTCCTTTTTTAGCTATTGAATTTCATGTAACTTTTTTATGATACAATGATTTCGCATTAATATATTTACAGTAATGTTTTATATTATTTACTATAAGCAGTTTTATTGTTTGTTTCTAGTAATAGTGTAGGCCAAGTAAGTCGCATTATAAAATATTATTGTGTAAAGTATATGAAAGCAAACATAACTTTTTAACAAGACGCAGCTAGGTTTTTTTTTTCAGTCAATAGATAAAAACAGACGAACTTTTAACGTTCCAATGGCTATGTTCACACACGGCAACTAACGGTTAGCGGGATCCATGTATGTAGTTACTCCATTTTTGGAGTGTATGCGCCCGCCGCCAAAACTCCGATTTTGGAGGTTTTGCGATACGCGAAAACTCCAAAATCGGAGTTTTCAAATTTTTAACCAACCCTCCGACTTCGGAGATACTGCGTACTATACCGTACGCAAACACTCCAAAATCGGAGATTTAAACTTCTAACTAACCCTCAGATTTCGGAGGTTTTGCGTACTAAACGCGAAAACTTTGAAATCAGAGTTTTGAAACTTTTAACCAACCTTCAGATTTCAGAGGTTTTGCGTACTCGGGCCTATACGCGAAAACTCCAAAATCGGTGTTTTCATACTGTTAATTAAACCTCTTTTCAAACTTTTAACCAACTTAACTCCGACTTAACTTCGTAGGTTCTGCGTACTATACGCGAAAATGTTAAAATCGGAGGTTTGATTAAGTCTATATAGAGAGAACTTGTTTAATTGGTACGCACAAACACACACACACACACCTGTCTCTTATACACATCTAGATGTGTATAAGAGACAGAAACAATATTGATTTATTGTGTACTTCTTTAGCATTAAGCATAGTCATATCTGTCTCTTATACACATCTAGATGTGTATAAGAGACAGCGGCTGGTTTATATTATATGCCTATATTATTTCCGAGGCGCACCATTGTTAATAAAATGTACGGTACCTGACGGTCATTTAAATCTGTTCAACCATGAAGCCTCCGTGATATAATGGTAATGACGCTCGCCTTGGCAGCAAGTGGTTGCAGGTTAGAATCCCGTCGGTGGACTTGTTACACAATGTATTTATAGGACATTCGTTGAGAGCTACCTGACGTTTTTTTTGTACCGAATACTCAGTACGTTCCCAAGAAAGCCTACTCCCCCACAAAAAAAAAAATCGCAAGTGATTCGGGTTGGAATCAAACCCCTCCTCCAGATAACTAGCCTGGCGCCATAACCACTAGACCACCGAGCTTGCGCTTAGTGACTAGTGTTGAATCCAATCCCCAAGTAGCAGCGGGTACTACAAATGCTATTTCGATGTGAGTTTGCGTCAGGAGTGATGTACTTGCCCTACCTGACGTGGTTTGTACCGAATACGCAGTACTTCCCACGCGAATCACTTGCCAATTTTTACGCGAGTATTTGGGAACGGTTAATTCAACAACATATCCAGTGGTGGCTCTAGGATATAATTTATGGGGGTGGGGGCCTACGATGTCCGACTGGGGAGCTAAGTATTTATAGGTGTACCTATAGCGCGCAGCGTTATCTGAGGGCCCCAGGCCCGAGCCAGGGATGGGTATGGAAGGGGGTGTCCCCTCCTCCCAAAACGAGATTTAAAAAAAACAAATTGGACTTCTAGATGGCCGGAAATGGCTGGGATTGTAAAACTAGGCCTTTTTTTTCTTTTGGTCTGACTGCCCGACGAGCTTTGGCCGATGGGAAGGGTGTGGGGGGGGGGCTTGACCAGATCGATGGTGGGGGCTTAAGGCCCTTGCCCCCCGCTGGCGCCGCCACTGAACACACCCCAGATTAGCGTACGCCACTGAGTTACGACAGTCATGCAGTGGCGGATCAAGGGGGTTCAGGGGTTCGGACGAACCCCCCTCTGTGAAGAAACGTAACAAAATACTACTGCTGGGTCCTGGCTGACAAAAGTCATGCTAACCTACATGGGCATAGGTTTGATCGGACAAAGTAGAGAAATAAAATTTAAAAACACTGTTTTTGGCTCGACGTCGTAATAATTTATGTAGGAAAAAAGTGATTTTTTTTTTAGGCCGATTGGTTCATTGATTCATGTGGAAGAATAGAGGCGCGTACAAGATATGCGCATCGACAACGTTCTACGACGAACCGAATTCAGATTCGGTGTGACTCTACCTTAAAACTTAAAATAGCGATAACGAACAAATATTATTGATGTCGCGTAAGCGCGCACACTAGTATGCGTCATTTTTGGAAAAAAGCAAAGAACATGTTCTTTGGATTTTGCAATGCAGTACAAAGAACTAGGCCTAGGCTAGACCGGGTCTATGTCTTCTTTCTACCTGCACTCTTGGGAAGCTTGTTGACCAACTTTAGATCGATATTGCATTCAGTGTGCTTTTAAATAATTTTATTTGCATGTTTTCTACATAACTGGGATCTTAAAAAGATCAACAACCAGTTAATAGCTGGGCGTAGCCCTGTGCCAACCACAGTGCAATAATGTATACAACAGATTCTGAAGCAACGGCGAACATAATTTACTTTTCACACAATAGACGAGAGTACAAGTTTGTGTCACAAATCAGATTTAGGTAGGCCTAGGCTTTGTTTTTTCAAAGATGTTGAATATAATGAGCATTAAGCATAGTCATAT